CAAATGAAGTGAAGATACATACTGTGCTTAATGTTCACTTCTTGACATAATGGTTAACATTTAAGCCCCTTTTCTTAGTTTGCTTTGTACACCTTCATAATAGTTGTGAAATGTGTTTGTTCTGTAAAGGTTTTGTGGCTTTAGTTGCAAAGAAACCAAATCTGGACAAATTGAACCTCTTGCCATGGCTAGATACTTACTAACAGGTGTCTTAAGACATGTACTATAACACATGTATTGTCCTTTTTCTTGTGCCATGTAGTGAAGATCTCAATATAGATCACATTCCAGCAGTAAACAATAAACCCTCTGCTTGTCTTTCAGTCAAGATCACTGCTCTTTCACTGTCCCCTGCTGGAAAACTGGCAATATTAAGACTCTCAGTCCAGGAGAGATTGCTGGAAGCCAATCTGTGTGGCATCCAATGACAGATCATTCTGATTGGCAAAAGAGAGAATGTGACAAAGCATTGTTTTGAATACTGTTATTTATTTGATGAATAGCAAAGAGAGACAATATAGAACAGCATTGTTCCACAAGGTGTGTAGTTTTTAAAAAAAAAAAAAAAAAAAAAAAAAAAAAGGATTTTTTTTATAGTATATTTTGCTAGGGTTTAGGGATAAAGTGCATGTGTAACCCAAACATTTTTTTTCTTTTAGCTGTGTATAGAGACCCCTGCCACTTTATTTTGTTGCTTCCTGTATCCCATTAGGGAGATTTACCCTCACTTCCTGTCCTGGAGAAGCAACAGGGAATGAGGGGAAATATCTGCATGATTACGCTTTTCATTGTTTGTCATCAGAACAGGTGTCCTCTTTCAAATATTCATTCTCACCTCTTGTTCTGTTGATATCTCTAAAATCTGAATTTCTGTCCTTGTGACAGTGGTCCCCAGGTCAAGCAGAGAGGATACATATACTTAGCTGGGGCACAGCAATAAAAATTTACAGGGGTTTTAACCTTTTTACCACTTTATATAAAGCTTAACAGAAAATTATAAAAAAAAACCTTTTTCGCTATGCATACACTTTAATTGTTTACCTGTAATGGTGTATTTCCCATGTCCTGCAGGCTGCTGCTTCATGGAAAAATCCTCCCGTCATGTCACCGAATATTGACCACAGTGATAATCTTCTTATGCTTCAGGGATTAACAGAAGTGGCTGTGAGTGTGAAGGGCTTACGCTGTTCACCCACTACAGGCCGGCCCCTTCACTATTCACAGAACTCATACTATTATTGTCCCACAATGTGTTCTGTGAATGGAGGAGGAGAGGATGAATGACGGGTTCTCCCTTGCTCTAACCTTGAAGGGGTTGGAGTACCAGATAACATGGGGTGTTACTTAGTTTTGTATCAGGACTGTATCCCAAGTGTCTGATATACCTTAAAAATAATTAGTACTATCTCTGAATATGTTTGCTGTTGGCAGCGATATAAGTGTATTCTGCATATTACTTTAAAGGATCCAGCTACCTCCAAAAGTCTACTTTAATTTTACCCCCCCAACTCTACTTTTGGTTAAAAGAGAAGTTAACCCATACAAAATAATTTTCTCGTGGATTCAAGGTTTAGTTAGCCAGTAATGTTTTTTGTAACCCAATGGGGAAAACTCGCTGGTTCGTTCCCATGCACTAGTTTCCTAACTTGTTTGAAAACTGACGGTAGGAATCACAGGAATGTGGTACTGAAGCTTAGACTTCTACCTTTATTCCTGCTCAAATTCCAGTGTGAACACTTGCATTCTACATGTATTGCAACAAAGTAGGGATGGGTAGCATTTTACAAGATCTTGGGGTAGATTGCCCTTTTCTGTTACTTGAATGTAGTGAGAATCGGACAGCATAAGACAGACCTAATGAAAGAGAAATCTTGTTTTATTTGTAAGGAAGAAATGGGCCTGTGTTGATTTATGGTAGATCTTATAACTGCCTCTTTTTTACAAATGTAATAACCTTCAGCAATTAGATGAATATTATGTAGTTGTAGGTTTCTCCTCTTTGCCGGCCCTTCCAACATTCACAGAACTCATACTATTGTTGTCCCACAATGTGTTCTGTGAATGGAGGAGGAGAGGATGAATGATGGGTTCTCCCTCGCTTTAACCTTGAAGGGGTTAGATTACCAGATAACATGGGGTGTTACTTAGTTTTGTATCAGGACTGCATCCCAAGTGGCTGATATACCTTTAAAAGTAATTAGTTGCTATCTCTAAATATGTTTGCTGTTGGCAGCAATATGAGTGTGTTCTCCATATTACTTTAAAGCAATTAGATGAATTTTATGTAGTTGTAGGTTTCTCCTCTTTGCACATAGCTTTTTGTTGTGTTGATAACCCTGTTTATGACATTCAGTTCTTCATTGTGGCTGTATCATAAAAGTGAACATCCTATTGCATACAGTGGCACTTAAAAAATGTAAAACATTTGTCAACACAATAGTACTTATCCTAAAAACCTATATGCCTTCTTTGTATTAAAGTCAATGATGACTTTACACTCTTAAAGCTTACCACAATTCTACTTTAAAAAAAGGTTTTCCTGTGATTTACTGTGGACACCTGGTTATTTATCATATGTGTAAATGAGCCGGAAACATCTTTGTGTTCGCCTTCACTGCCTGTGTGTGTGTCACATGTCATTATGATTGTCTCAGCAGAACTAAAATATTGTCTAAAAATGTTTTTCTCACGTGTTCCTGCGTTTTTGCCTGTCTATTGTACAGTGTCTTTTGTAAGAGACTAAAGCCTTCAAGCATGTGTAATCATGCTAAATCTGTATCTTCAAAATAAGAAGTCTTACATGAGCACTACATTTTACAGTGTATTGAGGCGCACTCTAATGCAGTGTTTCTCAACTTTTTTTTTAGTCAACGCACCCTTTAAAACGATGCACAATCTCAAGGCACCCCATTCTAAAATATAAAAAAACTAAACTAATAGTTTTATATAATGCAACAACATCCAAACATGTAGGACACTCAACATTAGAGGTAATTTATTCTTCCACAACAAATACACCTTTTCACACTGGTCCTGACTAGTATTCCAATGTTTCTCTTCTCCCTGACTCAGCTAATGTGACTACCCCCCCAGTGCTAACAGATAGTGACAAACAAGGATGCTGTGCAGTTGTCCAACATCCTCCTTAACAACTGATGACATCATTGGTTGTCAGGACGCCTGCGACTAGAAGGTTGTAATAGTGCACAATGAAAACCCTTGGCTTTGTGTAACCGAAAGATGGGCTTCATCCACCTGTTGGCTTGTGTACAGTGTTTGGGCAATTTTAGGCATTTTGTCAAGGCACCCCTGAAGAAACCTAAAGACACCCTGGTTGAAAAAAGCTGCTCTAATGGACATTGTATAATTTTTTCTTTGTAGATTACTACTAAAGAATATTTATTCTTAGACATGTGTGCAGGTGCAAAATTAAATGTAGGGGAACACCAAACACCCAAAACTAACAGCTTTAGGAGATCTGACAGCAAAGTTGTCAGCACATATCTTTTACTTCAGGAGTTTTGTCCAAACAGCCTAAAATGGCTCCATGTCTTCAGAATGTAGATTAGGCAACTTATCCTACACATCAATGCCCAGTGCGTTAGCAGCCCATTAGCGGCTTCATGCATTTCCATATGAGGGATGTGATGTGTGTTTATAAGTATGCAAATAAAGATGTTGTGAAAATGTTTGTATATCCACAATGTCAGTTCCTTCATAAAGCAGTTTTAAACGATCCAGCAGGTTCACTTTCTAAAATAGGGTATTTTTGTTACACTGAACAGATCCCTGGTTGAAACAGCAATTCTTTGTTTCAAATATAATTTAAAAAAAAGGAATATGCGATAACTCACAGCCTAGGTTTTCATTGTGGGGCATGGTAGTGCAGCAGTTAGTGTGCTGGCTTGTAGCACCCGCTTTATGTGTGAAGTACAACCAGTCTACATGGAGTCTGCATATTCTTGTTTTTTGCATGGACCTTCTCCTGGTGTTTTCTTTTCACAATTAAAAAGCACACTATAAGGGAAAACTGGCTTCTGACTAAATTGATTCCTGTGTTAAAGAATATGTCAACCCAACATTTCATAATCCTGATATGTGTTTGTATGTATGTGTACTTGTATGAAAAAGTATCTTGCTCTCTTTGTATTGCTTCCTTTGTGTGAAAAACCTGGTGTTCCTACCAGTTCCTCTGCTTTCCTATTAAAAACTGATCACACTATGCATGAAAGCACAGCGTTTTCAGTTCTCTAGCTTCTTCTGACACCCCCACCCCTGCACAGCTATTCACTGGGAAGATTAGTGTTCTGCTGTTTCTCCTCCCTCAGCTTCTTATACAGCTGAGAAAAAGGGGTATGTGATCACCTATAAAAATAAAATGTTTTGCCTTTTATTTCTATTTTGAACTGATTGGGTTGTTTTACAAGGTGAGGGTTCACATATGCTTTAATGGGTAGCTGTAGGATTGTGGCAGGGACATTAAAATTTTTATGAGAAAAACTAATATGTATATGAATCATTTTTTTTTTTGTTTTTTCCTATACACTTCCAGGACAAATTTGATACAGTGTGTGATTTACAATCATATTAGCCACTCGCCTACAGGACACTTATACCCCCTTCCTGCCCAGGCCAATTTCCAGCTTTCAGCACTGTCACACTTTGAATGACAATTGCGCGGTCATGCAACACTGTACCCATATGAAATTTTTATCTTTTTTTTTTTGAGACAGAGCTTTCTTTTGGTGGTATTTAATCACCTCTGGGTTTTTTATTTTTTGCTAAACAAACCAAAAACCACTGAAATTTAAGAAAAAACAAAAAAAAAAAAATGTTTTTTTCTTAGTTTTTGTTATAAAATTTTGTAAATAAGTGATTTTTTTCCTTCACTGATGTGCGCTAATGAGGCTGCAGTGATGGACACTGATAGGTGGCACTGATGAGGAGGCACTGGTAGGTGGCACTGATGGACATTGACAGGCATCACTGGGCACTGAAAGGCAGCACTCATATATGGCACTGATAGTCAGCACTGACGGGCACTGATAGGCGGCACTAACAGGCACTGATAGGTAGCACTGACTGGCATTGAAAGGTGGCACTGATAGGTAACACTGAAAGGTAACTCGGATGGGCACTGATATGTGACATTGATGTGCACTGATAGGCACTGATATGTGGCATTGATTGGCACTGACAGCTGGCACTGATGGGGCTACACAGATCATCAGGGCACACTGATCATTAGTGTCCTGATGATCAGTGTAGATGTCCCCTCTGAGTAAAGCCGATTACCGGCTCTCCTCTCGAGCTGTCAGCGTGACAGCTCGTGAGGAGAGAAATGCCGATAACCGGCATTTACCTATTTACATGTGATCAGCTGTGATTGGACACAGCTGATCACGTGACCGAGCCGACATCTTCGGCTCTTTCTGTTGATCGGTGATCCACTGTGTCTCTCCGAGGGACACAGCACACCACTGATCACCGCGCGTGAGCGGTTAGAATGGGAGGACGTCATATGATGTCCTCCCAGAACAAAAGAACCGCCTTGCACCCGTCATTACCTTATATGGTGGGCAGGAGGCGGTTAAAAGTTGTTCTAAGGTGTGCCTTATTACTGACTCCTCTTCTTTTTACCTGTGGATAGTAGATCACTGTAATATAGAGATTTGAAACATGTTTAATACCAGTAGAAAAGAAAAAATGTCATTTGCTGACTGTCACCTTAATAGATACATCTATAAAGATGTGTTTATTATGCTTCTTGCACACGGGAAAAAAAATACTGCATTTGTAGCCTCGGTTTTTTTTTTTTTGTTTTTTTTAGCCTCAGATGTATTTATCCTAGCCTCTAGATACAATAACAAACTGCCTCTGTTTTCCGCCAGAACCAGGGATGCTTAATCTCTTGCCTCACATGCTGTAGGTATTCCCTGGTTTCAGTTCAGGTTAATCTATGCCTTCCCTCCACTAAGCATTTTAGCTTGACTTGCTCTACAAAATAGAGGAAGAGTGGAAGATGGTGTTTCTACTGGCACCGAACTGGTCCAGATGAACCTGGTACACAGACATACTTCAAAGTCTCTGACTTTAATAGCATGACTATTGAAACCCAAGGTTTTAAGGGACAGAAGTGTTTCGGAGTCAGTGATTCTTACCTTGCTAAAAGCAAAAAAAAAGCTTCCTCTAGAAAGATTTTTTACCACACCTGAAAATCGTACTTCGCCTGCTGTGAGCACAGTCAATTTAGTCCCAGGGATTACTGTATGCCTGACATTTATGGTGTCCTGCAAACAGGTCTTCTCCAGGATTAGCTCTTAGCACCCTAAAAGGGCAGAAATCAGCTTTATCCATCTTTTTTCTCTTACAAAAACTTTTAGTCCTCATGCACACTGTTATGTTAAAAAGCGTCTTCCTAGATGTCTTCCTACTGGTAGCAGCGTTTTTGCAGAAAACCAGGGGCAAGTGCATCCAAGAGCAGCAGAAAAAACGCTTGACGCATGTAAACGCATCTAAACGCTCCTGAAGTCACGTTTAGTGCTTGAGTGTTATTTGATTTCAATGGCCAGAATAAATTGTTATTCTGACCAATGAAATGAATCAACACAATTTTATTTATTTTGTATTTGCTAAACTGTCTTCTTATGATAGGTAAAGCAATATATACAGAAGTCAGTACAGCAGTGTGGTCGTTCCTTATTTATCAAAATAAATACAAAGAAATTGAGCTATCGATACTAGTAAAGGGGGGATGGGTGGTAAAGGGGAGATATAATGAAAGACATACTGTATGAGATGCGATACACCCATACATTCTCTTCCTTCTGATTTTAGTAAATGAAAACGGTTTATCTTTTTTTGGTTTATATATTAAGATGTGTACCATAATATATGTAATCCTGTTTTTTCCTTGTATATTTGACATCAGTGTTCACCTGGCAAGAAGACTTTTGCAGCTTGAAAGACACAATACTTCCTTAACAAAGGACTTAGAGCAACAGAAAGAACAAACAGCAAAAGTGTCATTGGAGGTAGGTGAGCTCATCACATCAAATACCTTTTCAGTCTGGAGTTACAATTTACGGTTTTTGAGTTGACATATTGTTGTGTTGCATGCCTACCTCAAATTTTTCAGTGTCTTCTATTTGTAATGAAATATATATTTGAGATCAGAAGAAATATTGCCCTCCAGTTATAACCCATATCTAGCATTTATAGAAAAAATGTGACTTGATTAACCAGTTGTGTAATTATATCCAGGTATTTTAAAATCTGTCCCTTGCATAGGTTGTTTCTTTGTTCAGTAGTTGGTCCTGAAATCTAAACGTGGACTGAAAGGCACAATATTTCTATCTGAATATAAAAAGTGTTCTAATTTGATCAACTGAAATATACAACAAACAGATACCTGCAATGTATTTTACATTGTTGACAAATAACACACACACAAAATAACTGCTTGCAAAAGTACGCACCCCCTGTAATGTGGCAAACCTAAATCATCACTGATGCAGTCAGTTCTTTTCCACAGCCACATACTTGGTTGAAAGGAGTCCACTAGTGTGTAGTCCTACAAGAGTTGGATTCAGCAATGGAGTCAGTGATACTCCTATCCTGTAGAACATGGGTTTTAACTGCCATGCCAATAAAGCTAGTGACTGAGAAGTACGGTGTAACAGAGGGCCCTGTGACAGGAGGTCTGACCTGATTGGCAGATGTCAAGGCTCCTCTGCCAAGTGTCTGTGTACACAGTTCCATTAGGCCAATTTAGAGTGATGAAGATCACAGGAATCCATTCTTCCTCTCTTTTGCAGGGCTATCAAGAGTAAATCTTCATTATATTGAATGTATACACCAGTCTGAACTGGAACTAAGGAGTCACCAGGACATCCACAGCAAAGGTTAGGGGACCCCTGGACCTGGCCATAAACTTATCCAGCTCTTTGTTGAATATGGAGGTTATGGTGTCGACATTTGGTGTTCCCAGGAGAGAACCAGGCTTGCTTCCTTTATGGCTGCCTAACTTTTAGTATCCCTCAATTGTTTATGTAGGCCACAGCCGTGGCGTTCTAAGACTACACCCTGCAATAAGCTGTTGGATATTGGTAGGAGTGTCACTGAAAGTAAAGAAAATAGAATTATTTAGAGAACTTGGACACTGGCACAAAAATTAAGTCCCAGAAAAGTTATTTTTATATGCAAAATAATAAAGTGATAAAAGGTCCACAAAAGTTCTTGTGAAAACAAAAGAGCCAGGATGTGTTCAAATCAATCCAGTCACCACCACCACCAGAAAAGATAGCCAAACTCCTTACCCTGTAATATGATCCTTATATTACAAAGAGATCAAAAAGCGTTTGTTGTTATACCACCATTCCACGCTCCTTCCTGCTCCACACCCGCTCAGCTGTCTTTCCCAGGAACTCATGGACAACCCACGGGACCCACACAAATGGGTTCCAGGGCATACATCTGACACCACAGGACTGTGGAACTGCAGGTATTCAGCCACTCAGGCTGCTACACCTCTTTCTGCATGGACCATGTAATTAAAAATGAACCACACTGCACATTGCATGATAAATTCTGCCTAAATGTTGATTCTACATTTGAGCTTTTTTAGGAAGAATTCACTTTACTACACATTAACAAATCACACCTATATTAGAGGTAAAATTAATGACTCTTGTAGTTATCTGCACATCCTTGTAGATAAGGAGAAAAGCTCTTCAGCCATGCTGTGTATAGTGTGCTCAGTATCTTAAAAACATTTTCAGTTGGCCCTTTTAAACTCCTTTTTGACCGTGATTTGAACTGAAACGAAAAGGTGATGTGAAAAATATGTTGCAACTTGGAACAACTGAATTTTTTCAAATAGTCAGACATCTTCATTTGATAGCACTACCATAATGTGTCGTCAATGTCTTTACTACTACTGTAAATGATTATTCCTATTGCAGTATGTCCGGCCTTTGTTTTATTCAAGATGTCAGAATGCCTATAAGAATGTTAACCTATCCCACCCCTTTCAAAATTATATTATGAATGCATTATTGCTAACAACTAAATTTTACTACAGTCTGCAAACAAGCTTAACTATTGTTGCCTGGGTTTAGACACCACCCTGTTTGCAATATTTCAATAAAATGTCAATGGCAGCCTATCTCTCATGTACCATGTAATCGGGAAAAAGTGATAAACGGGATACACAATTCTGACAGAAAAGATGACTGTATTGGGTGCACGGCAACCTGATAAAGCCTTCTTACCTTGTAATTCTGAAGGCACACTTAATAGACTGTGTTCCTGGACTCCATCCTCCCATCACCACACCCCTGTCTACTACAATTATTTTTTGTTTAAAGGAGAAGTATAGCCAAAGCTATTTTGTCTTTACTTCTCCTATAGGTCTCAAGTGCAGTTCATTTTGCACTCCTGTGACCCGTTTTCAGCTGACAGCAGGCTAAAGTTCAAAGTTGGCTGACGTCACTCAGCCTGTTCTGGTTCTAAAAAGATTCCCAACCATATGGTTGGAACCCACCCAGAAGCCTGGATTGGCATCTGGCTCGGCCTCTCAATGATCTTCTGAGAGCCTGAGCCAGCCTCTCCCACCCCCTTTGGAGCTCAGCACTCCAGTGAGCGCTGGAAGGGCAGAGCAGAGAGCCAGAGACTGACAGTCACCTCTCTCTGCTTAGAGCAGAGGGGAGAACTAAATGATCAGTGGAGTCTGATTACTCAGTTCTAACTGCAGAGCCGTGGGGGAAGGGGACAGATGGAGCATCTGATTGATTTTGCATCCACCTAGGTGAGTATAATTTTTTTCTTTTTTTATGTTCATATATCTCTTTTAAGGGTAGAAACAATAGTCAATTTCTGCCCTCTGGTTTCTCATTTTGGATAAGTAGAAATTCAGGAAACCTGTCTACCTCTTGCAACTTAGAGTCAAAGAAAATATTGATCTTGGAAGAAGGATTCCTTCAACAGATCTATCAAATTAAACTATGCATTGGGCCAGCATATATACTTTGTCATTTGTTATGGTTTTTTCATGGTGTATTTTTTCTCTGTGTGTAATACTATATATCTGGTATCATTTGAGAACTTGTGATCTCCAAAATAAAACTGAGGCATTGAATTATAGATTGCCCTGGAATGTGATAGCTGTATTCTAAAACTGGCAATAAGGGAGGGTTTCGGGGGTTTCATCCCTTCAGTAACAGTGAGAACCCCAGTATACGTAATACCCTAAAATTACAGACCAGGTGAGAATACCCATAGAGTGTTACACCCAACATTCGCTCATCACTTGTCACCCAAATGTAAGTTCTAATTGACATTCCAGCTGTTACTTTCTTCTGATGTGATGATTTTCTCTCAATCTATGCTTAGTCTATGATAATAATTGC